GCGACGCTCGCTGGAGATCATTGACCGCCGATGTCTATGGTTATATCCGCTATAACTGTCCCAGTCTCAACATTACTGATACGTACGCCCTCAATAACACGAACCCGACTTGGCAGTACCGATGGAATGTTGGAACTGCATCACACGTTGGCGAACTCCTGCCAATCTGGAACAATGCCACTTCAGCGGCTGGTGTCTTTGTCCAGGCGTACTGGGCATCATTCATACGAAGCTATGACCCAAACACTCACGCTGCAGAGTATCTAGTCTCTAAAGGTTCGGAGCTCCAAAGCCCAGACTGGCACTCATTCGGCGCAAGCGAAGGGCAGCGATTAAGCTTCAACGACAAAAACGAAGTGGCCATGGAAGCTATTCCCGAGACTGAGTGGCAAAAGTGCGATGCCATCGACGACATGGGTCTGCACCTGAAGCAGTAAGTTCACACCCTCTCTAACCAAGCGGCCTGTCATATGCCGGCAGATTGTGTACCGATGATATTCTTGCCTTATTCAGAAGTTACGCCAAGTCAGGAACGTGAGCTAACGATGACCGTAGACCCGTATTCGACCCCACCTCTCTCGGAACTCGGCACACACCTCTTCCATCCGCGTACATGGGCGCCGCTACCATGCTCCTTAGCTTTTTCTACTGGGCTTACATATGAACAATGCGATGGATAATAGGACGCAAAACATCAAACATTTGTACGCCAAACGGCGACGCACAACTGAGACATCTGACACACGATGTCATCCGGAAGCCATGTCGATACTCCCACGGCTGACGCATCGCACGAAGAGAACGCAAATGCCGGAAGTGAGCTGTATGGCAGCTATTTACACATCCGCGAGGAGGCAGTGAACACTCGAGGAAGAGAAGAGAGAGATGCATGAAGAACAAGCGAAGGCAGAAGGGCAAGCATGAGATCACAGGAGCTAGGGAGATGACAGTGAATGATGGGCCGGTGCCTCGCACAAGCCTCTCTGGGCGTCTTGCTCTGTTCACTCATCAAGGTATCATTCATTGTGAATGATGGAGGCTCTTCTACCCTAGAAGCGCATCGTACAGACGATGGGTTTTCACACTGACTTTTGCCCATGCGCATATAAGCAGGTATCTTTTGCTCCAAGAAAGGCGTCTTCATCATTGCGAAATCAATATTGCACGCATCTCCAATCCACCACACGTACCCATTTTGGAGGAGCTTTTGCGAAATACAAATATATTCTTTTCCCCTCGCAAGTCTCGAAACGAGTGTCAATCGGGGTCATGGGCTACCACCGGCCTGCAGCGTCTGCGAAAGGGAAGATGAAGGCATGTGATGATGAAATTGGCGATGAAAACTGTCCGCGCGTAGTGGACGACTCTGATGCGGCTTCGGATTTCTCTTTTGATGCGATTCCGCGGGAGCCTTTGACACACACAGTCCTGGGGTGCACAGAGAACTCTACCTCGTACAATGTCGCTGCAAATTTGAGTGAGCCGTTTGAACAACCAGTGGCAGTACCTGTTTTCACTTCTTCCTTGCAGGAGCACTTTGGTCCACTCGACACCGACTTCTTGACGCCTCTCGTGACTAGCAACGCGACTTATCGCTCTACAAGCACCAGCCCGCAACCTCGATACCACCTTACAGAGTCAAGCGCGCGTCGTCACTCAGTCGACTCTATGTCGCTCTACTCATGGGAGCAACCCGCGCCAAAACCACGCTACTACGCTCAGGCGCTGTCTGTAGAGGACCTGAAAGCGCTCGCACAAGGCGAGAAGAACCACAACCTCCAAGAGTGGTCGGACGAGCGCCTTTACACTCACCATGAGGGTCGCAGGGGCTTGATACCCCAGGCCATGCCCTTGGAAGAGAAGATAATCGCGCTCGCGGGGATTGAGCACGAGATGCAGCAAAGCCAGCCCGCTGTAGCCAAGACGAAGGAGAAGGTGCGTAATAAATTGCACATACCTCGGATTAGGAAAACAACTGACAATAAGAAGGATGAGGAACATAGTCGCACACAGTTCTGGCAGTCTTCTCAGTCGACATACGACCTTCGCTCTTCTATGCTGCCACCTCCGCTGCCTCAGTCAACACCAACTGCACAACCTGAGGAGTACGAAGAGCCACGCAACCGTCGCTACTCACACGCTCGTGCGGCTAGCAGCGGAGACTACTTTTACCAGCCGTCCAGCCCTCGCACGAGCGCATACAACACCCGTCGTATCTCGCCTCTAGCAAGCCCGTCAGTCCCGTCCTCGTCTAGTTCTTCGAACCATGTACGCAGCCCTCTGAACCAAGAAGTGCTGTTCCGCGCTAACCCAGCGACGACGTTCGACTCTTTCCTCGTACCACACAAGTCTGGTACGGGTGTGGTCCTTGCGGAGTCCAAGAACGCGATGAAGGATAAGACGCCGACGGCGAGCCTGAGCCCAAGTCTGAAGGCGTTGGCGAAGGTTAGACGGTTGACGAAGATGCCGTCGATGCCGCTGCTGCGGAAGCGTAGTAGTGGTTCGTGAGGTGGGTAGTTGCGTCTGGTCTGGATAGATGATGAGGGATGTGCTTTTGCTCACGTTTTTGAACACGCTTAGATGGTCCTGGATGTACAGATGAGGTTCTTCTTGATTAGAGGCTCATAGACAACGCTTGTATTAGTGTTGCATGCATAATGTTGACGTTCACTTCTGGATTGAAGATGAGTGACGGAAGGAACGTTCCTTCGACACGTGGTGAGCCTAACACTAATCAAGGATAGCGCCTTCCCAGAATGAGCTGTTTCGAGAAAGCGCGGTCGCTCCTTCCCCCTGTCTCAACATCCAGGTGTCTCACATCAAGACACCTTACGCTACCCGGTCTCAGCTCAAGTGACTCTGAGGATTGCGATGTCCCTCATTTGATGAGGAGTACCTCAAGTGAACTCCGCCTTAAGTCTTCATCTCGCCTTTCAACACCCTCTCATACTCCTCCTCTTCAACAGACTTCACGTATATCGTAACATCCTTTCCAGTGTTCCACTCGGCATCGACCAGGACCTGTGTCAAGCTATGACCCCAGAAGCCTGCCTTCCGGTACTGGCTTTGAGGTTTAGTCCACTTCCACAGTAGCATGCGGCCTTTTGGAACCAGCTCCCCACTTTGATCACCGAGAACGGTGAAGCTCAAGATATGGGCGAAAGCGCTGTGGCCACTGTCACTGTCGTCATCATGGGCAGCCTTTGCATCTCGAAGTCTGGCGACGAGCTTTGATACCGTCCGCGCGTCTTTTGATGGAGCCTCGACATCGATCTGGTTGCGGAGGGAACTTGCGAGATTGAGTTCGCTGACTGGGACGCGTACTTCGCCGAAATCTTCGTGGGACTGGATAAGTTGGATTTGAGCAGGCGTGAGCTGTGTATGCAGCTGGATGAAGGGGCGTGAGGGACTTGAAGTTGACCTGTAGCTCATGATGGTGGATGATTTTGGTGTAACGGCTACTAGGAAGGTGTAAGGGCGTGTCAGCGTTGTTACATCTGAATGCAGTTCATGGCCCTTCGAAAAGTCAACATCGACACCGATACATGCTCACTGGATTGTCTCCTACCAAAGTCAACGATATCTGATGCGCCATTGTGAGTGTTGTGTCAGTCTTCCCATGCCTCTACCAAGATGATTCAGATGAGTCCGGATATATCGGCTTTTTGTCTTGAACGAAGGATGGTTGCCTGGAGGATCTGATTTGATCGATTGGAGTGCCAAGCGTACGTACCGAAGCTGTCATCGCATGTGCAGCACATCACCCTCGACGATTACCAGTCGAAAAGCTTATCTTCCCCGTAAAACTGATCAATGATACCGTTGCTCTCCGCCTGAATCCAAACACCCATAAGATCCACAGGCGAGAACTTGAGCCATCCATTCCACACTGTTTTAGGTCCTTCACCACCTGGACGACCACCTGCAGCGATCACTTCAGGCCCCTCCATCGTCGTCTTCATCCCATCTAGCAATTTTACAAACGCCTCCTTGGCATTGTATGCCAGTTTAAGAGAACTTACGCCTTCTGGCGGCGCATCTCCTATGGGTTCGGGGCCGTTCGCCAGACTCTCAAGCGCCTCATCATCGATGACTATACACCAGGCCCACTTTGGACCGAGTTTCTCCTCGTCGGGAATGTCGTCCTGTATTGCGGGAGGCCCAGGTTCACCCATTGTCTCCGGGAAGACCTTTTGAGCATAATGTTGGCGGAACTGCCTGCAGACAACGTCAAGCGACGCGCCAGGCATATAAGCAGCAGCATCGAGACGTAAGATGTCTATCATTTGTTGATTGTATGGCGCTGGGTTGCTGTAACGCAGGTTGTCTGTTGCGTGGGCGTAGACTTTGCGGATCACTGCTTGGAAGTGCGCATCCTCATCGGTCGCATCTGTTGTCCGTCAATACTTGCGCTCGATGGGCTGCATTTGTTCCACTGACCTGCTCTGTTTTCCTTATCTGTATCTTCGTTTGAGACTTCCTGGCTTTGTGGGCGCGTATACGTGCCGTAAACGAAGAAGCCCCAGGTCGGATCTGCCCATCTTTCAAACTTCTGCAAGAATTCTTTACACTCGTTCATCTGGCTCTCTTCTTGTGTCGCCATGCTCACCTGTCCTGTGTTGCGCGAGCGATTGTTGGCAGAGAATAAGCGTGAGACGCGCGCAGGCTATGTATGATCGCAGGGCTTTAGGGGCGCCTGAAAAGCTGGAGGGCCAGATCGATCGGTTTTGGGCGCAGTGTTGTAGAACTGAGACCTTGCTGAATGTACCTAACATTGCGAAACTACTAATCTACATCTGAATCCCCGTGCACTCCAATCGAAAGTTGGATAGGCTTGCGGGCTGGAGATGGCAGATAGGCGCAGGGCGAGGCCACGCCACCTGCCTCCCCGCACGGTCCAGGAAACAACACTGCATTCCCTTGATTTTCCACGAACGGCAGCCTACATCGTTCTCATATAGTACATCAGAACTGGTGCCGGGCCTAGGCAAGGTGACTCGCTATCTTTCATCTTCGCACCAGTCGTCTCTTCCACCCAAGAAAATGACAATCTCTTCCCTCAAGTCATCCGCATCAGAAGCGTCTCTGGCGCATTCATCCCGAACTAGTTGTAGAGAGGTTTTTCCGGCCTTGTCGGGAATGTTCACCAACTCCTCCGCAATGTCAGGGAATCTGTCTGCAATCTTATCAAGCAAACATCGCAAGACTTCCAGCTTGCGTGGGTTCCGACTCTGTATAGCGACGTGGAGTGCAGTCTTGCCAAAGGGCTGGCACTTAACCCGAAGGATCTCTTCTTCAGCGTTATCGATGAGCTTGAGGATCAACTCCTCGTGCGCAAATTCGATAGCAACGTGCAGGGGGAAGTCGTAAGGAACTAAAGATGGTACTGTGGGATTGGCACCCTTCTCCAATAGGACATCCACCACGTCCACATAGCCTCCGTAGCATGCTCTGAACAGCAAGGTCTGCTCCATCCGATGGATATCAACGTCGCGCCCACTGTAGTATTCCAGCAACCACTTTGCGGTCTCAGGGAAGCCTACGATGATGGCGTTGTCGATCGCTTTCCGGTATTGGCCTTCGCCGAGCTGCTGCGACGCAGATTTGCAACGGTTACAACGAGACAGATGATGTTCGACTGCATCAGTACACCCATGCGATGCTAACAGGACTAGTATGCTGTCGTTAGAGGCTATCAATGTAGTGAGTGCAAGCTCTTCTCGCTGCACTAGTTCTGTCTCATGATATTCCAGGAGAAAGTCCAAGTGACGCTCGATGATCGTTTCCGCTTTCTTGATGATGCAAGAATCAAGAAAGCGTGGAGGTCTTTTTATCAAGTGAATGAGCTTCCCGGTCATTCTTGCATGGTACACCCAGTGCTCGAACGTGTATTCTAGGAACGGGAATGTAACTTCTTCTTTGAGAAAGAGGTCTACACACTGTTCTAGAGCCCCAAAGCAGAGCTTCAGTAGAGCAAAGTGGCTCTGTTGTTTCCACTCTGATGGCTGAATCGAGGCCGAGATGCTCGAATTTTGCACCAGTCCTTCTACCGCTGGATGAGTGAATCGTATCGTCCTCTTGTTTCCCATGGTAGAGTGAACTTCCAAAAGGCCGTGAGATTTCTGTCGAATGTATCCCTCGAAAGCTTCGCCTGGTGTCCACGCATCATTCGAGTTCTCCCACTTTCTGATGTCTTTCGGACCACGTGGGCCCGAAAACGCCAGCGCATGTCTGATCTCATCGGTGCCCATTGGCAGGCGAGCTGCAGTAGCGAGCTGCAGAAGTTGAATCGTCTCAGGGTCATTCAAGGCATCCTTTTCGAGCCCGATGCTCTCGTGTCCGTAACCGGGGGACCCGACACCGCGTTCGAGCTCTAGAAACTCCCTTTCGACAATCTTCATGATGCCATTATGAGTGGATAGGTGTGCTGCCCTGACTTGGTTGATTACTCTTTGAGGCCAACAAAACTCACGAATACGATGTCTCGCCAAACGACGGAACACAAGCTCTCTGGCACCTCTGTCTTTGATGTCTTGTAGTTTTGTCCTGATGAACTCCTCCACTATGTGCTGGATGTTATCTTCGACTATGATATTGAGGGTTTCGGGTTCCTCTTTCCCATGGTAAGGATAGTGTCTCCTAGAGAGGCAGATTCTAACATCCACTCCAGCCTGGGCAGATCCACGTAGTGTTTCCCCGATGAATTCGAGGAAATCAAGGGATTGGGTAGCGAAATACTCCTCTAAGGTGCTATCACAGGCTTCCAATGCATCGACAAAGATGCGGTAGATTGATGTCGTATTCGAGAACAGGATCTCATGGATAGCGGCTTTTAGCCTGACTTTACTCCAGTACGAAGGGGAAGGTTCCAGTTGGAATTTGATCTCTTCCGCCCAACTCTGCAAGAAGCTCCTGGGCTGTACTGAAGTTAATTCCAGTAGCTGAAACAAAACTGAACAGTAAAATGCATGTAAACGGTCATGGGGGAAAGATTTGCCCGGCTCCTGTGGCGTGAAATGATGTCGAAGAACTATGTTTCCTTCTTTGCTACATTGCGTCGCTGCTTCCTTGATGAGAACAGTCTTGCCGGTACCTGGATTGCCTTTCAAAGTCAAAAGTCTGCATTCTGGTTTGCCGCTCGCGTGCCCGTCGTTCCAGGCGAGGAATTTTTCGTGACAGAAAAGCCACATCGGGGTGTCGAAGGTCTTGACATTCGTATCGAATTCTTTGATTTCTGGTTGATAAAGCATGGTCTTGCATCCTGACAATCACTTAGTAAGCAGGTTCAAGTGAAATACTGCATTGCTCACTTTTGAACAATTCACCATATTCGGTAGACCCTAGAAAACCTCAGAAATGTCCCCAGACAATTACTCAGCGTTTCCAGATGCGGAAAGACTCAGCATTCGTAAATTCGCACCTCTAATCATCTTCTTCAGCGCTTTCATGACTAGCATGAAGTCTTCTTCGCCCGGCTCCTCAAACTTGTTCATCTCAAAATGGTCCCTCGCGATCGAGCCATTGTCAGCAAAGTCGAGACGACCTGAGCTTTCGGTGACTAGAAGTCTCTGCAAGTGTGTCAGTATTGTCACACCCTTGACTTGGTCTGCACTTACGATCCGTTGCTCGCCCCCTACTACTTTGCCCACGTCCGTGTAACCCGTCTCGTAGAAGCAGGCTATCTGAGCATGGCCCTCTCTCTTGTGTATTTTACAAAACTCGGTGACAAGGTCGTTGAGTGTTTCGTTCTCGCGCTGCAAGACGTCAATAGTCTCAGCTCGAACTTCGTCTTCGGTGTACTCTCTCAACGCCGCCTCCACAATTTCCCGGTATTGCATTCCGTCGGCACCTCTGAAAGGTGTTCCGAGAGTAAGAAGGCCGATCGTGGACTTGAAGATAGGTCTCCAATCTTCTTCGTCATTCCGTGCCAGCACTGATGCCTGAATCGTGTCAGTGGGGTCAAAATGCACTTTGCGATGCTTCTTACCTTGAGCGCAATGAGGCCGCCAAAGCAATGGGTAATAAAGATCAGCGGGCGATAATTGAACTCCTGTTTCGGATGATTTAGCGAATGCCTCCCCCTTCGACGAAAGCTTCATCAGTACCTCTCGATACATGGTCAGAGAATTAAGCAGGCGTGTCGCTACATCCCTGACCTTGGCCTGCATAGGCTTCTTGCCAAACCAATTGGATTTGTAGCCATAACGCATGATTCGCGCATTTGTAGCCACCGCAGGTAGCATCCGCCCTTCAGTAAGCCAGCTGATGTATGCCGCCTTGCCATCTTCAGTCTCGACACGTTTCGTCCAAGTATCGTCTGGGTGAGCGCCGATGCCATGAATCGCTACTATGCTAATTTGCATTAGTATTGCAGACAGTAAGATCGGGCTCACGTACTCAATGGTATCTTGAGTCACCTCCAAAGGCTCTTTCAGAACCTTGATTCCAACGTCTTTGTTTGTGATGTCGCGGACCTTTCGCTACGTCAGCCGTGTTCGACAATCGCATTCGTCATTCTGACTCTACACACCATGATGATAATTCACTCCTTTTTTCTCGGAGAGAAAGGTTCAGTACAGTGAGGAAGGAGAAGTTTACCTGATGGTGGCAAAGGAATGGGAAGAGGATCAGGCTGAAGCTCGTCGCACATGTAGACCGATCAGTTCGGGAGATGTTGCATGGTCCTAATATTGGCTATTGGGGGCGGGGTGCGCGTGGCTGCAGGCAGGCAGCTGCCCCCCTGGAGCCCGCCCAACATTTAGCTCGATATAGCAACAACCCTTTTGCCTTCTTCAGAAGCCACTCCAGATCCTTTCATACCTTGTAAAAATGGCTCCTTTTTCCAAAGCCCACCAGTTAGTCGACGATCTTTATACAGCCGACTCCGCTGATCCGGCGAAGCATGTGCACCTTCCGGGATACCCTTGTGTTCTCCTCCAAAATACCAGAGGAGTTGAAGAGACCCTCAACAATGAATTCTACTGCCAGGAACTTGAAAGAATGGCCCCACACCTATGGATCATGGCGACCTCTTGTAGCAGCAACATCAATCCTCTCCACCGACAACTGGTCAAAGATCGTGAGATAATCATCACTGAAGACCCGCGACTGCACCTGGTTTGGATGAACAACCGTATCTTCGTAAAGCCTCTACCCCGCTACTTGTGTTCACACGAGTTTTGGGAAAGGTTCCTAGATACGTCTCAAGACCGAGAAGAGAATCACATGGACAATGTGCGCAAAGCCGCAACAGGCTTCTTGAGGACCTATCGCTACCTGATACGACACGAGTCCGATTTCCGGATAGCTTTGGAAAAGCATCTACTACCTGAAGATGCAAAGTGGGATCGATTTTGCCACTTTGCAAGAGCGTTGCAAAACATCGAGGACAGCGCTACCACCCAACGATACGCCTACGGAGAGCTGAGGCTGACAAGGCTAAACCTTTACGCCCCCATGCTTCTGCATAAGTTCAATTACGAGCAGATACACGGACAGTATGGCGATATCTTTGGACGACTATTTGGACCGATCCTCTTCATCTTTGCGTTGGTTACCACCCTTCTGAACTCCATGCAGGTTGAGCTGACAGTCGAGCAATTGGTCGATGATCAGATCCAATGGGAGAAGTTCTGGTATTTTTGTCGATGGTTCGCCATCATTAGCCTTGCAGGGACCAGCATTATCACAGTCGGATTTGCTGCTCTTTGGCTCTGGATGTTCGTGGATGAGTGGGTGTACACATTGCGACGCAGAGCTGAAAAGAGACGGGTCGCCCGCGGTATACCGATGTACTGAGCCCCCCGGTATTCATGCGACTACAAATAGAACGCCCCATCGGCTCCGCCGTCGGCTTCAGTGGAATAAGTGTAGACCTTAGGCGCCAATAACATCTTTCTTATCCCGTCATCATCCATGGGTACTGCAGTCGGCAGGGGCGTTCTTTGGTGAACGAATTTCAAATATCAGGGTAGCCTGTCATATTGGAAACCGTGCAGCAGGCAAAGTCAGCTCGAAAATGAGTGTCAGCACTGAAGGCAGGCTCACCGGACGCAGGTCAATCTCCACCAAGGCTAGCGTTACATCCAGATCCAGCCAATTCTCTCAAGGCTGTTCGAGGTCTCAAGCGATGTGGCGCTTTCAATTGTTTTAGGTGGTGGCACGGCATGTCATCCAAGCGAATGACACGACGCGCTGCATGCAGCCAGGACTGGTCAGCCCCCAAAGAGCCGCATCGACCCAGATATGAAGACTGCCGCAAGATCGCATGATCTCTTACGAGGAAGTTGTGTATAAGAGAATGGTCAATGCCGCTGGCTTCATCTGCGGAGCATACTCACTTCATTCATACAACCAAAAACGAAACAACGATCAACAACCGTCATATTGGTCCCCATGCACTCCTTACGCACCTTCATTTTGGTTCTCCTATTCTCGGTATGGACTCTTGCCGGGAACCACGACTCGCAATCACAATGTCTCTGGCAGGATTCAAAAGATTGCCAAGCCGACAACTGGGACGAGGAATATGAGTGCCTCCGGGAGATCAACTCGCTCAGCGAAGTACTCGACTGTGTCGAGGCTGATGAGAATGGTGCCATCAAGGACCCTATTTGCCGCCAGGACGACACGTACCCCGACAATCGCGACTCGAGGGCTTATCACTATGAGTCCGCGGCCAACGGATACTGTACTTCTCCGCGCACCCTCATAGTTGAGACTTGGAAGAACTTGACCAAGAAGCAAAGAAGGGACAGTCCCATACTTGGACAGCTTCGGGCTTGTCCGCGGGATGACCCGAATTACCACAATTGTCTATGCCAGTCGGGGGTGTTACCACAGCACTTGCAGATACTGGTGCCTTACTTTTATGTGGCCAATTATGAAGACCTGAGATCTGGCCTCATGTGCAAGAGGAATTTACCAAGGGCAGTTCCGGAGGAGATCGCACGCTCAATGCCTCTAGAGAAACGAGATGAAGTCGAATGGACTCCAGTAAGTCGTTCTCAGCCACGCGCGTTTCTGTAGCGAGTAGGTCTGGAAATCTGCTGACATCGACCTTAGGCGTGTAGCGATTGCGACTTCGCCATTACTCCCGATGGGTTACCAGTCTACAACGACGAGGACGGTTTATATACAGGATCGTATCCCCTGCCAACACATGACAGCTTCATCCAGGACGGCCGTGCTGTTAAGCGGTGTTACGTCCACCCGGAATACCCCGTCGAAGTCAGCTGCACGGGATGGTGGTTGGACACCCCTGTAACATCTACCCAAGAAGTAGATGTGCCAACTGTCACATACTCTGCCTACTACGACTACGATGAAGCGTCACTCGTAGCCTCCTCTGCGCCGCCAGTCGCCTCGCTACCGAGCACCAGCATGGCTTACACCGGAAGTATAGGGTTTGATCCGACCAATCCAGCTATGTCAACTTCAACTTCGTCAGCAGGATCTTCAGCAATGACAGGGCTGTCGGCATCAATCTTGACGCCATTTCCTATGTTCGCCATCTTGTGTATCCTACTTTTGTAGGCTTCTGGAAGCAGATAAAGGCTTCCATTGCTACATGTAACATATCTGTTGCACCTATCTTGTTTTTCCCAAATGTTGTTCTCGTAGATATCAGAAAATGCAGCAATTGTCAGTCAGGACCTTCTGTTCGTTGGGCCTTAGGATCGTCGCGTTTTGCAAATACCAGTAGTGGAACAGATTGCTTGAAGAGGTAGCTCCACTCTACACTAGCTCCGACGAGGAAAGTGCAATGGCATATAGGCAGCGATCGCATCAGAGACGTTAGGCCGATGCTGTGAGATCATATTAGGTAAACTTTCCCTTTCCTTCACATACGACCATAGGACACTGAGAATTAGGCTTCCCGTCCGCTCAGCCATATACAAGCAGTGTACCGGCGGATTAGTAGTTAGGTGGGTGACCACTAGCGAATCCCCGCTGTTGTATGTTTTTGCCTCTTTTTTGCCCATGCAAGCGAACGTTGTTTCCTCTTTTTTGCCCATGCAAGCGAACGTTGTTTCCTCTTTTTTGCCCATGCAGGTGGATGCCCATCTCTTTTTGTGACACCCCATAGCCGCTGTTATTGTGACTCTTTCGACTGTACGGACGTGGCCCAGCCAGTCTCACGTTCTAACCAGACACTAGCTCTAAGCTGTACACGCTAGTATTGAACATACCCCAAGAACGCCGATAGATACTCCTATAAACAATCCAAATCGCTAATTGCATCAACTCCGATCGGTCCACCTTCCACCGCCTTCTCCAGGTCTAACTCCAGCCTTCTTTTCACTACCCGAGAACTTTGCCTCCTCCTCTTCCCACTTCTTCCGCTCTTGGCGTCTTCTCGCTGAGTAGGCACGCGAAAACCTCCAGGCTTCCGTGTCTGCCAGGTTCCACTGCTCCACGGCTTCGACTACCAGCTTCATGTTCCTGTCCTTGCTCTTGATGGCCTCGCGTGCCTTCTTCAAGCGCTCTTCTTCTTTCTCGATCCACTTTTCGTCGGGTATGTCGATACCCTCGATGGGCTTGGGGGGTTCGGGACGGGGGAAGACGATGAGCTCGGACTCCTTGCTGGGCGAACTGGGCTCGGCATTCGCAGACGCATTCTGGGGTAGACCGAAGCCGAAGATCCAGTCCAGATCGTCTTGGGTGATGCGCTCGGCTGTGAGCCATAGGGTATGAGCGGGAGCCGCTGCTACAAGCTCCTTGAATTTGAGTACGCGGTACTCCTCAGTGTGGTCGTCCGGAATAGATTTGTCCGTCAGCTTCTTGATCCACAGGTCCCGTGCCGCGCTGTTGCGTAAGAAGTTCTTGTCTATCATGTCGCGTGTGTAGTGTAACGAGGTAAGCGTATATGGATGGGGAACGGTTCCAATCGTGAAGAACTTGGTCGTGTTCACAAATTCTGGGAACAGCTGAAGCTTCATTCCTTTGTTGGCATCGCATGGTTTGCACTTTGGTCGGTTCGGCGGGCATGACTTGGGCATTGGGGTGATCGGACATTGAGTAAGGTTACGCGCAATGTCCGTTGTTTCGCGTAAAAGGACAGTCGTGTGCTCCGGCGCAGGCTTGACGATTACCACACCTTCCGGATGCTGTTCTTGCCAGGTCAGATGGAGATGCGAGTTGACGAGGTTGGCGAGTAAGTCGAGGGCCTCGGCTTGTGTCGTGTTGGTAAACTTATCAGCGACCGTCTTGTACTTGCTGGAAATAGTAGGCATGTTGTAGGATGCGATGCCGTTGGCCTTGCTGTCTACGTCCATGTCCTTCGTGTCCAGGAGATTGACAATCGCTCCACCCTCTTTTTTGGCGAGCTTCAACAGCTTATCCTTGCTCGCGGTGACATTCT